CCCCCATCACGTGCAGGTGCCGCCTTAACGTGTTATGGCCAGACAACAGTCCCACCAGCAACCTTAGGTTGGCTCTACCCAGAGATAGGCAGAAGCGTCCATCCTTAGCACTGGGCCCTTCAATGAGCTCTCGTGCCTGGCGGAGATGTCTAGAGATACTTCTCCATTTCTGAGACTGTTGTCTTGCAACCGACGTCTCCATTTTCCTCCTAGCTTTGTGCGCGGTTACTCCTAGAGCTGGTTCAGGACCAACGAGCTTGCTGGCTGATCCTGTTTTCTCCAGAATGTCCGCCGTCTCATTGCCCCTTATCCCAGCGTGCCCCGGTACCCATATTAACGATACCGGATGCCTCGCTGCGAGGCAATCCAGAGCCTCCCTGCATTGCAATACAAGACTCGAAGTAATCTTACAGGCACTTAGTGCTTTCATTGCAGCCTGGCTGTCGGATAAGATTGTTATTCTTCTCCTAGGCCCACCCTCCTCCAGAATGTGAGATACACAAGCCAGAATCGCAAAGATTTCCGCCTGGAAAATGGTGGTGTATTCACCGAGAGGCAGAGATAGCCTAGTTCTAGGCCCAGAGACCCCAGCACCTGAGCCCTCTTCGGTGACCGAGCCGTCCGTGTACCAGACCTGCCCGCTCACTTCGGAGAGTCCTCGGCTACCGACGTCCCACTCCTCCCTCGTTGGATACTCCACAATAAACTTGCGGTTGAAGCGATATTTAGGGGTAATACGATCACCCCTGCTTAGAAGGACGGGGTCCTCCCTTTCTAATTCGACTAAGATGGCAGTATGCCCCTTGACCGGATTCAAGAAAGCCCAGCTGCCTTGACTCCACAGTCGATGAGCGACTACTCTCGCTTCACCGCGGATCACCAGATCCAACGGTGGGAGATCCAACAGAGCTTCCATTGCACTCAATGGCGTTGTTCGCACTGCGCTTGTAATGCTAATACAGGCCAAACGCTGAATTTTATTGAGTTTGGCCTTAGTTGACTCAGTTCTAATGCAAGGCCACCAGACCAGGGAGCCGTACAAGAGAGATGGACGTACTATCGTCGTGTAGAGCCAGTATACCACTTTGGGTTTAAGCCCCCACCTTACACCGACAACACGTCTACAAGCCCACATCGAATTGCGAGCCTTGCTAACCTTGTGTTCCACATGCTCTCTCCAGTTCAGTTTGCAGTCCAGGATAATTCCCAGATATTTCACCGACTGGGACAAAACTAATCTAGTCCCAAAGAAGGTCGGCATGACCAGTCCGTCAAGCCTTCTTCTCCTAGTGAATAGAATCAGCTCGGTCTTTTCAGCATTAACAGAAAGATCGACTTCCCTACACCACGATTCCACGGAGCGCAGAGCGCCCTGCATAATTTCCGAGACTGTTCTGCAGAAACGCCCCCTAACCCTATGCTTACGTCATCAGCATAGGCTTGCGCATAGACACCCATACTGCTGAGCCTAACGAGGAGTTCGTTCACCACGATACACCACAGTAGGGGTGACAGAACTCCTCCCTGAGGGCAGCCTCTAGCTACGTTCACGCTGCAGCTTACGTTATTCAGCATAGCTGTTGTTACCCGACCCTCCAAAGTAGAGAGGACCCAATCTATTAGGATTGATCCAACCCCGTGTCTAACCAAGGCCTGTCTGATAGAGTCGGTTGTGGTGCAATTAAATGCACCTTCAATGTCCAGGAAGGCCACGAGTGCCACTTCTCGCTGATCTAGAGTCTTCTCCAGCCTCCCGACCAGATTGTGTAAGGCCAGATCAGTCGATTTTTCAGCTTGGTATGCAAACTGATTTGCATGAATGACACACCTTTCCAGCGGGCCATCCCTTAGGTATCTATCAACTATCCCTTCCAGGGTTTTAAGCACAAAAGATGAAAGAGTAATCGGTCGAAAATCCTTCGGGCCAGTATATCTGTTTCTGCCCGGTTTAGGAATGAATACCACTTTAGCCTGCCGCCAGCTTCTAGGTGTGAAGCCCGTGGCCACACATGCTCGAAACACATTCAACAGGTAAGGAACAACCGAAATCCGTCCCTGCTGTAACATGGCCGGAAATACGCCGTCCAGACCTGGACTTTTGTATGGGGCAAACGAATCTACTGCCCATACCGTCCTTTCGAAGGTGACAATCTCCCTAGCCGTGCGCCAGTCCTCCCTTGAGGGCCTGCGCAACTGCATGCACTCTGTGATTGATCGCGCTACTGTGGAACCAGGAAAGTGCGTATCCATCAGAAGCCTCAGAGTATCTTCCTCAGAAGTAGTATTCCCCCCCGAGGGATCATGCAGAGATCCCAATCTTGCTTTACTGTCTTTGCATAGGACTCTGTGTATTCTAAATCCATTACTCCAAAGACGCCTTCTCATTGGTCGTGCCATAGGCGCAAATTTTGAGTCCCTCAGGTCAATAGTAAAATCGGGCCTTAATGACATGTTTCTGTCCTTAATGTTTACACTAGTATTTGCAGTTTCGACCAGCTTTTTGGTTTTCAGGCACCTTGGACGCCATTTTGATCAACGCTGCTAGAGATCTTCGTACGCAGGCTGATAAAGTAGAACTAGCTTTAGCCAAACGAGTTGCTTGTACTCAAGAGGTCACCAACAGGCTCGAACGAGACCTTAAAGAAGTATTTGACTGAGCTGTGGTATTGACAAGTCTCAACATAAAATATCTTTCCAGGTCCTGCATAATTTGGCAACAGTGGAAGACCTGATGGCTGATTTGAGAGCTGCTATCAGGAGAATGGATATTCCGATGAAGAAAGCGCAAACCAGGCTTGATAATCGTTTGTTGAGACCAAGAGTGGAAAATTGTAGAGATCCACCTCATTTTGGTTTGATTGAGGAAGTTAAGTCTATTGGAGAGGGAACAGCAGCGTTACAGGTAACAAACAGTTAAAGAAAAAATAATGTCCTAAATATTGCCGGTAAACGCTGAATGCGGACTATTTCTTTTTCTTTAGTCCTCATGTTCTCAAACTTATGTAATTTATGAGTTTTATAGACACCCCGTAACCCATATTACATACCTCAACTTGAACTGTCAGATTGTAATTCTTTTCATGAAATTGCGAATTCGTATGCTAGATTGCGTATTTTGCAAAAATCTATACTACCAGCTACCAACGGTTTGCACTATCTGTGCGTGTTGTCTATTTTGAGGTTACACCAGTACCATAGCCAGTAACCTTAAAACCATGCTAGCAAAATGCGGGCTGCAGTAGTTCAGGCAAATATCAGCAAAACAGCTGTTGCACTATTCCTTCATAGAATGCGCTCATGGCATGTGGAGTACCTTAACGTAGTAGCTGGTATGAATCTTGCAATAGCAAATGTCAGATTATGATTTCTGCGGTATAACCATATGGGTTGTAGATTTTAAAAGGCCTTAATATACATTTAGAATCCAATTTTTTATAATACTTATCTTGAATTTTAGGCTCAATTGAATCAAGCAATGCAGTCTCAGGCAAACTTGATCAAAGCAAGAGGTGAATTGGAAAAGGAGATCATGTATAAGAGAAAATCTCTGGAAATTGACAATGAGAGGACAAGAAAGATTAGATCTTTCTACCCATCTGCTGCGGCACTATCCGGATACACATAAATGAAGACGGAATATTATTTGGACAGTCATACAAATAAAATCTTGTTTTGTCGACACTTAGTTTCTATTTCCGTCTGTTTGTCAGCCGTTTCTTCGGTAATCCTTGATATCATGGTAACTCTACACTGCTCAGATGTTGATTAAACTTTCTCATAAGATCTATTCATCTAGTGGCGGAGTTTCGAGCGAAACTTAGTTTCCAGGATGTCTTCAAACTTTGTTTTCTGATCTTATTCGACATCCATAATTGTAGGCGTAATAGTACCACTTTTTGGAAGTGTTAATATTATGGATACATCCCTAACCGTATGTCGACGTAAGTGTCATGCTGGTTTCCTATGCAAACTTCCATCTTATGGGCTTCTAAAAAAGCTTTGCAGATTGGTGGGTGACTTTCTGGCCGCAAGATATAGGTATGTCGTAATTGACGAGTTCTCCTCTTCATCCCTCAATATCAACACGTTGTTCCCCAGAGATCAGTCTTGGCTCCGACATTGTTCACCTTACATGTCAGCGACCTTCTTTTCTGTACGATCAATCTGATCCACATATTTGGTGATGACAGCATTTTACATGCAGGAATTCAGAGTGACAAGCCGATCTTTGCCGGTGAGCTGGAGAAAGGATGACAAGCAGCGACTTCCTCTATGACGAGAGACATACGAGTAGAGGTTATCACTGCTTCCAACAAGTAGTATTGCACATTGACTAGCGAAGCGCATAAGCACTCATCCGGCTTCGATGGATGGCCGAATTCTAGCAATGAGGCTTTGGTAGGAGTCCAGATCACAGCTGGCTTGTTTGGCACGAACACGAATCATCATTCGCGGCAGCTGATGGAAAAGACGTCGGTTGTTTGTCCAGTCCTTCAAAGTACTTTTCACCAGATAACCTCTTCACTTCATATAAGGTCCAGATATGACCTAGCCTCCAGTACTGCTCACATGTTTGGAGTGCTGCTGCCTCATCTACACTATCCATGTTCGATGCTGTTCCAATGAGGGCAGTTCGACTGACTCTTTTCTAGCGGACAGTCACTATGTCAATGGGATTTGCTCCTTAGAGTTCTTCTCCACGATGCCGCCATTTGATGAGCCTGCCAGACAGACCCTCCAGGCTTCTGCCTCCCACCCTAACTCTGTACATTTTCCTGTATCCAGCACTTGCCGGTACGACCACTCCTTTGTTCCTAGAGTGTCGTGATTGTGGAATAATCTACCTGAGGATGCTTTTCCTTGTTCTACTAACCTTAGGCAGTTCAGAAAAGGGATTAACAATGTATCTTTAAGCTCCTTATAGCAGTCGCGATGCCCCTGGATTCAGGCGTTTACCTACTCGGCTGCGTCGAAATAAAGAAAGTGTAAACAGTACTTACCGTTTTTGCAAGCGCACGTGTCAGGTGCCACACAATCTCCGTTGAGGCAGGTTTCTGAACAGTGAGGGGTGCATTTAGATCCAGCTATGTCCAAGGTCCAGCCAGGTTTACAGGAACATCTAGAAATAAATGTGTAGTCTCAGTCATCCGAACAGCAGTATTTACGGATAGATAAGCATTGCTGCTATATGGGTAGGATATTCTTATTGATCTTTAACATAACGTGGAAAGTATTTTTTGATATTTGCTAATATCTGTCTAGAGTAAAATGCCAAAATGAAACACTATCATTAAAGGCATCTTAAATGAAACCAATAATATGAAAATCGATAATACCAATCAATAGTTACACTAATTATTCTGAAATGTACATTTAGTCTTCCTAAACCCTTAACCAATCAACGTACAAATAATGATCTTAAAGAAAAAGTTCCAAAGTCATGTATGCGATTCAAAAAACTATTCCAGGAATAAGTTAATTATATATATTGTGAAAAACGGCCGGTTTAGAAAGTTAGCTAAACATAAAATAGTCGAACAGTACAAGAAATTTGGAAGAATGATGGTATGACAGATGATTTTTCCACTATATGAACTCAGACATCCAGAAACTCTTGATAAATATTCCACTTTACTACCATCTTGTTCACAATTTTCTCATAATGAGTATCAAAATTTAGTTGAACATCTGTATATTTGTTAATTTATTAATGGCCCACCCTGTTAGTAGTGGCGTACGAAGGGTGATGCGAATCTTGTTTTTGGCACTTGACTGTGTAGTTACATTTTCGATACTTGAGTAATTCAGAGTGTCTCATCAAATATGATAAGCTTAACAGCGAGATAGAGATATACTTACTTGTTTGGTGCTATACATTCTCCATTCAAACACCCCTTAGGACAATCGGGTATGCACGTATTTCCTTGTAGTTTGTATCCAGGTTTGCAAGAGCAAGTATTTGGTCCAATGCAGGTACCTTCTCCACATCCGCCCTCACAGTAGTACCCGCATTTGTTGGTTTTCACATCTATAGCAAATCTATAATGAAAAAAAATAAAATTTAATATGTCCCTGACGCCTTGTTGGACGATTCGTGCGTTGGCAAGAGTTCAAAGTCAAATAGATTTTTTTTGTGAAATATCTAGTTGGATATACCATTAAAAAAATATAACAAATATCCATATTTATGCGGCCAAAATAAGTATAGGATGCTTTGCCAATTATTTGGTCTCTGGCCCGTGTTCATGTGCTAGATAGGTAGATAAATATACCTTACTGTCTGAATAATAAAATCGTTCTCAATGATAAATTTAACTTAAAATTAAACTATAACATAATTATATATTATATTGTATAATATATTATGTGGATCTCAAGTGGGTGAATTATAGAACCACAGATGGTATAATATTGGTTTACATATTAAATAGTTTTTAAGTCCACAGCGAAATAACTTTAAAATGTTGGCTCTTTTGATAGCATCAGGAAGACACATTTAAGACCATTATAAATCATTCTGTCGTTTACAAGAGTGGGTTTAGGTACTACTAATTTAGGATCTTATTTATGTCTAATACTGTAACTTACATTTAATATTTGAAACTTTTCAAAAGTAAATAAAATGGACAATGATACAGTAGTCATTACATTAAGATTTACAAATAATTGCCTGCATGTAGATCTAGGATTCCTTTTTTACACAATTTTGGGAACAGACGTATGTATAATGTAAGGCAAAATAGTTGCTTAAGGCTATGCTTTTATCTACGTTGTAACTAAGTGATCTTATAATAAAGGGAATCTTTGCTAGTTGAGTAAGCAATTTTGTCTACATGATTAGTAAAATCTAATTGGTCAGACACAAAAATTCAATGGAGTCTGTTTTGTGTATCAATTCATTATTTAAATTTATAAAATCAAAGGAGTATTTAGATTTCATGATTTTAACATTGAAAGTCACGTATTTGTTGTCATAATTTTTTGATTGATTGTATTTAACTATCAATTATTGTCTTAATTTCATTTATAACACATCGGCTGTAAAGTTCATAGCATGACTCACAGATGGCGCCACGAACGAAAAGTCATTATTACCAAGAAGTGTCATCCGTCAAACGTTCACTGTCAAAATTTCACGACATTCCGACCATTTATTCACTAGTGACAGTGGATTTAATGACGCTACTTCGGTAAATTTAAGAAAAATGCAAAAATCCAAATTTCGTGTGCTCATAAAACATTGCTTTTTGATGGGGAAAAATACTGTGAAAACTAAACAATGGCTTGATGAGTGTTATCCGGACTCTGCTCCATCGAGACAAACAGTAGGGAAGTGGTTTGCTGATTTTAAATGTGGTCGGACAGAGACACGTGATGCTGAACGCTCTGTACGTCCAAATTCGGGAGTTACTCCGGAAAATATAAAAAAAAGTTCACAACAAGGTACTGACTAATCGCAAAGTGAAATTGGAGGAGATAGCTAATGCCCTGAAGATATCAAAGGAATGCCGGGGCCATATTTTGCACGAATGTTTGAGTATGTGAAAAACAACAACTAATTGATGATTCTGAGGCGTGTTTGCCGTTATTCAAGCATGACAAGAAGGATTTTTTTCGTCGATATGTGACCGTCGATGAGACTAGGATTCACCACTACATACTTGCATCCAAACAACAGTTATCTGAGTGGAGAGAACGCAGCGAACCTCGTCCAAGGCGACCAAAGACGCAAATGTCAGCAGGGAAAGTTATGGCTTCCGTATTTTGGGACACACACGGTATATTGTTCGTGGGCTATTTAGAAAATCGGAAAACTATCAATAGCGATTATTACTGCGCGTTATTGGAGCGACTGAAATATGAAAATGCCACTAAACAGCCGCATATGAAGAAGAAAAAGATCATTTTTCACCAAGACAATGAATGCACCGTGTCACAAATCGATGCAAACGATGGTCACATTGAAGGAATTAAATTTCGAATTGCTTCGCCACCCGCCGTATAGTCCAGATATGGCTCCCAGCGGCTATTGGCTTTTCGCAAACTTGAAAAAAAATGCTTCAGGGAAAGAAATTTGGCTCCAACGATGAAGTGAACTGAAGCATATTTTGAGGCCAAGGAAAAATCGTTCTATAAGACAGGCATAGAAAAGTTAGAACAGCGTTGGACTGATTGTATCGTTCTTGAAGGAGACTATCTTGACGAATAAAGTTGAATTTTGCATAAGCGTGTGTTTTTTCTCACTAGCCCTATGAACTTTTCAGTTGATGTGTTATGTGTGCCAAAGTGTTGTGGTATTGTCAGCAAAAACTACGAATATTTATATTTGAGCTTATTGAATCATTGTTATATACCAATAATAGGATCTGATCTTGAGGTACCCCTGTGTTTATATTTAATGTATTTTGATGTATTTGAAATATTTCTTGATAATTTTACAATTTGGGATCGATTATTTAAATACGTTTCCAACCAATTGAGTGAATTTTCAGTACAGCCATACTTGCTTAAGTTTTAATAGTAGATATATCATGATTTACAGTCAAAAGCTTTGGAAAAGTCGCAAAAAGAGCTATTAGAATTTATTATTACCCATAAACGGTAGAACAGATTTCATTATTAGGTCGGACTGTTTTTAAAAAATCAAAAAATCGGTAATTTTTACTCAAAAACAAATATATTGACGGATTCTGGTTCATAATGAAATAGCGTTTGTCACAATTAAATGTGGAAAATCACATCAGTCACGTGGATACCGTTTTTGAGGGTGCATTGCTGGAGGCATTCTTGAAAGTTCGCGTAGACTCTCTCCAACATCGTTCTCTCAGCTTGGGCGACTTCCACGCGAATTGTCTCCTTCAACTCATCCAGAGTTCGGGGCTTGTGCTCGTATACACGGGCGTTGAGGTATCCCCATAGGAAAAAATCTCAAATAGATAAATCTGGGGACCGAGGAGGCCAATGAACATCACCAAACCTGGAAATATGTTGACCACGGGGCGAACAACGTTCATCGTTGTTCTGGCTGTGAGGGCATTTGCCCCATCCTGTTCGAACCACACACATCGGAATGGAATACGTCGGCGTCGTAATTCAGGTGAGAAGTTTGTGATCATTTTGACATAGCACTCCGAGTTGACGGTAATAGCGTTGCCATTACCGTCTTCGAAGAAGTAAGGGCGGATGGTGCAAGTTTGCGATATAGCGAACCAAACCTTCACTTTTGGGGTGTTCAGCGGTCTTTCATGTAACTGTCGAGAATTTTCATTAGCTCAATAACGGCAATTCTGCTGGGTAATCATGCCATTAAGATGAAAGTGAGCTTCATCACTGATGAACAAAATGAGGCTCTCATTTTACTCGATAAGTGCTTCCATCTCACGTGCGAAGTTCATTCGTTATGCGAAATCTCCAGGCTGTAACTGTTGCACAATGGCCAATTTGTAGGGGTGAAAGTAGAGTCCCATATGCAAAATATGCCTTACTGAACGATCACTGAGGCGAAGTTCAGCAGCATGTTGCCGAGCAGATCGAGCGGCACGGGTATCACGTATCTTGAAAAGTTTTTTTTTCATACTCCAACTACCACGAAGGCCTAAGGCCTAAACACCCATTGGATACCCTGGGGCTATAGGGGGTACAGGGGAAAGGGGGAACGCCACACGGACTCTGGCGAGGGTACACGTGTGCATGCAACATGCACACATTGTGGTTCCGCCTACGAGATCCGCCGGGTGGTATCTCCGCGTTCGACAGTCGGAGACCGTCTAGCACCTACGGACAATCACAACATCCACAGCCAAGAGAAAAATTTCTCCTGGGACGGGACTCGAATCCGCGGCCACCGCTGCTGCCTAGAAAAGTGACATTATGCCGATTTTTTTTGACATTATGCTGGTATTTTTTGACATTATGCTGGTATTTTTTGGCATTATGTAGGTTTTTCTACATATTAACTTAGCACTTAGTTGTACGTGTTGTCTAAGTGTCATGAGGCTTGTTATCAATCTTTGGCTCTAGATGTGATGTAAAATCTGCTTCTGAGATAGCATTACTGAGGTCTAAGCTGTAAGTTGTATGCGTTGATGATAATTACATTGGGTTCTTGTCTCAAATACACTTAATTGAGATTCAAAGCTAGAAATTAGCTGCGCATCCACGTTGCCAAAAGTTGTGTATCATCAGCAAGCTTTCGCCCTCTCAATTTAATTTTGTGCGGAAAAAAGCCTGGTGCTAAATCTGGGTTGTACTTTGATGCGGGAAGAATTGATAAAGTCAATTGCTTCTAAGTGTAGCGAAAAAAGTCCATAGGCAGAATTCAATATACCAATTCGTTGAAGTCATTCGTTGGGTTCCTAAAGGAGTGATTTTTATAGTGCCGTGATGACCAAAGAACACAATAGTCATCCTTTCATAACCGATCATGGGCATCATTGGATAGCCACCGCCATCAAACACCCTTAAGAACATTGAGACTATGTTGACGCGCCAAAATAATCGTTTCATCACCTGTTCCTGTTGGAAAAAAATTTGAGGTTATATAAATCAACGTTCATTTATTAAACTCGTCCGAATCCATTCTGGAAATTACATATACAAATTTGCTGAATCTCAAAGTTGAGAGAGATAAGAAATAACTATATTAACTGTACACTGTCGAATTACAAGCCATATACATGTTAACAGTAATTACACACAACGCGGGCGCTGTGATGATTTCTCGTAATTCTCCTCAGTTTTTCGTGATTTATAACTTTGAACATAACCTCTCTTCAGAAAGCACAACATATAAATAACACGTCATATTCGGCACATTTAGTAATAATTTTCTCACACAGCAAGTATCACGGATTTTATACACATGCAGACCAATACACATAATCATCCAGACGCGATCTTGCTATTCAACTAACTTTCTTCTCAGAGATAAAAACTACAGACCCGGATCACTCAGCCTCACAAAACTATGCAACCAACAATGCGTAGTTTAGTTGAGTGATTCCTACATAGATGGACGTTCACAACGATCCTAGTGAGCG